CACCTTCCACTCTCCCAGGTTGCTCCAAGTCCCAGCCTGGCCTGGGACACTTCCAGGGATGAGGAATCCACAGCTTCTCTGGGCAACAGCACTTCCATGTACTCTTATTGATTAAGCCACTTCTAATCACTGTTGTTTTAAAAACGAAGATAAATTGAACTTAGACTGAAAATTAGATTTCTGTCCAACAGAAGAAAAGGATTCTGAGACACTCTTGTGTTTCCCTTGGAATATAGAGGACAAAAAGAGGAATTAAGATTTCTGGGACCCTGCAAAATCCAGTGTCGACGATGTTCTCGTTTCTGGTTGAACATGGTCGTGCAACTGCCCAGATTTGTGTGTTGACTTTTAGTGCTTTGGCTTTTGTCACATCTTTGGTGGGCATAAAACTTCAGGTCCTTCTGTTTATTTAAAGCTCAATTTGTCACCATCATAAGAATGCATCAACCAGGATCCATCTCCTGCAAATCTGTGTTACTAGACATGAATTCTGTTATTCTCCCTTAATTCTTTCTTAATAGAGTCTTCCATCATCTCTTACTGTGATATTGTCCCTGATCAATATGAGGGAGAGAGGCCAATAACTACCTGGTCATCCCATTTACCCTTAAAAAATCAGTGGTCTGGTTTTCCTTTGATTTTGTGGCCACCCCAAATACAGGAAGGATGTTGAAAATCAGAGTTGATGGTGTGGAGTGTGTTGTGGTTTTGTGATGAAGGTGGTTTATGGAGCCAGGCTGGGAGAGCTGGGAATGTTCCCCTGGAGAAGAGAAGGCTCCAGGGAGAGCTGAGAGTCCCTTGCAGGGTCTAAAGGGGCTCCAGGAGAGCTGGAGAGGGACTTGGAACAAGGCCTGGAAGGACAGAACACAGGGAATGGCTTCCCAGTGCCAGAGGGCAGGGATGGATGGGATATTGGGAAGGAATTGCTGTCTGGGAGGGTGGGGAGGGGCTGGGATGGATTTCCCAGAGAAACTGTGGATGCCCCGGATCCCTGGAAGTGTCCAAGGTCAGGGTGGAGCAACCTGGGCTAGTGGAAGGTGTCCCTACCCATGGTCGGGGGTGTCACTTCATGATCCTTAAGGTTCCTTCCAACCCAAACCATTCTGTAATTCTAGGACTGAGCAGGTTTCATCCATAATGGAAGAACAAATTGCTAAATGTTTTTTCTCTGTGTTTTTAAACTTGATTAAGTTTGAGGGTTTATAATGGATTCCACGACTCCGGTGTCACTTTATATCCAGGACTAGGGAATATTAAGTGTGTAATACAGGGCTTGGCTCCAAGATAACATCCGTCTCGACTCAGAGTGTGTGAGGATGTGAAACACCAACTAAAGCTTTTAACTGAGAGAATAAAGCTTATTCAGAGCTCAGCTCTCTTTTAAAACCTCACCAGGGGTGCAAAATAGGAATTAATTCAGCTGTTGCCGTGGCCGGGTGTGTTTTCCTCCCCATGCTTTGCTCACAGGTCAGTCTTGGGCATGATGAGAACTTATCCAGCTTGTTGTGGAGCTCAGCCAGAACAGGAAAACATGGATCTGGAGAGTCACAGCAGCAAAATGTGGTCTTGCCCCAATGTTGCAGTTCAGGAGGACTTTGAGTGTTATCAACTCGAGGTGATGGACAGGCCGCACGTGCCGAGGTGACCTTTTGGAACCCGAGGGTTTAATTAGGCCTCCGAACCCAGAAATACTGCTTTTCCAATAGAACACTTGGTATTAATTTTCCCTCCCAAAGAGAAGGAGCTCTTTGTCCTGTTTCATGGCCAGGTTGGTTGGTTTGACCGATGTAAACACACCCCACGGATGGCAGGATCCGACCGCGGAGCCGAACTCCGGCTCCTCGCTGGAGATGGATGGGGTGTTGCAAACTTTGCAGTCACTCATAAATCTTGCTGGAAGCCCCTGTGATTAATGCCTAACGAGGTTTTTGACTGATGGCTTAGCAACTCCTAATCAGGTGTTACTGGACCAAATCAAGGAATTCCCTGACTTGGCTGGTCAAGGGAAGCTCCTTTCGCTTACACAGGCAAGAAGTGCCTGTTTTTTCTTTTCTTTTAAGTGTTGATTTGTTTTTTGTTTGTTTTTTTTTTTTTTGATTATCTGGTTTTCCTTTCCTTTTAAATGCATTTCAAGTTCTGCCTTGCTGTGGTTTTTAATAAGTACACGGCCAGACCACAACTTCCAACATTGGAATATGATCCTTATTAAAACCCTCTTCTCTGGATAACTTGGGCTGTCCAGACACAGGGAATAAATCGAGGGTGATGACACTGATTGAACACCAGGAATGGCTCAGCCCAGTGAGAGAAAGGGAAACTTCAGGCTGGTTTTTGCAGCTGGTTGCTGGCAGGGTTTGCACACTGGGCCACGTGTTGATGGTGCTGGAAAATTAGAAGGGTTTTAATGCTTGTGCTGCAGTTACGAGGCAAATGTGCTGAGTGTTGAATCCCAGAATGGTTTGGAGTGGAAGGGACCTTAAAGATCATCCAGTCCCACCCCCTACCATGGACAGGGACACCTTCCACTAGCCCAGGTTGCTCCAAACTGGCCTTGAACACTTCCAAGGATGAGGCAGCCACAGCTTCTCTGGGCAACCTATGCCAGGACCTCCCCACCCTCCCAGCCAGCAATTCCTTCCCAGTTCCCATGTATCCCTGCCCTCTGGCACTGGGAAGCCATTCCCTGTGTCCTGTCCCTCCATGCCTTGTCCCCAGTCCCTCTCCAGCTCTCCTGGAGCCCCTTTAGGCCCTGGAAGAGGTTTCAAGGTCCTCCTGAAGCCTCCCTGCAAAGACCTCTCCTGTCCCCCTTGGCTGTGTCCTGTCACTGCTCAGCCACGTTTACACTTCATTCCTTTGTCCTGAAGAATTTGTGGAACTGTTGAATTCAGGGCACTGGAGGAGGAAGACCTTGGATCTGTCTGGCACAGTTTTTGCCATGCTTGGATTTTATAACTTAAAGCTCAACTGCCCCATCCCTGGAAGTGTCCAAGGCCAGGCTGGACGGGGCTTGGAGCAACCTGGGATCGTGGGAGGTGTCCCTGCCCATGGCAGGGGGTTGGAATGGGATGTTCCTCCCAGTCCAAACCATTCTTTGATTCCACAAACTCTTGAGTTATCCAAACCAACAACTTTCACTGGTTTTCCAGCTTCTGACTTTTTCCCAGCCTTGAATCCAACCATCCTGCCCCACTTGCCTGCTAAATAGATTAATAAAACAAACGAACCATAAATTAACAGCTTTCCCTTCTTTTCCCCTAATCTGTGGCATTTTTCAAACTGCTCTGAATGTCTTCCAGCAAACTCCTCTCCTGCTTCTCTATTTCACTTGTTCCCCAGCAGGGATAATTCTTTCTATTCCCAGCTCAAACCTCTGTTGGCTTATTGTAATCTTGGAGCCAAGCCCTGTATTACACACTTAATATTCCCCAGTCCTGGATATAAAGTGACACCGGAGTCGTGGAATCCATTATAAACAGGTTTCATCCATAATGGAAGAACAAATTGCTAAATGTTTTTTTCCTCTGTGTTTTTTAAACTTGATTAAGTTTGAGGGTTTAATTAGATTTTCGTGGCGATTTTAGGGCTGGTAATTTAGAGCGGAGAAGATGAAATGCAAAATACAAACGGATTTGGTAAATTAGTGTCACAAATTAAGCACAGTGATTATTTTTTTTACCCATAAACACGAGTTTTCAAAGCTTGTGCTCAGGTGAAGTTTTAATTGAGATGTTTCAGAGGCCGAATTTTTTTTTTTGTGTGCTTTTTTATTATTATTATTTCTTGTTCTGAGCTAATCCTGAATTGTTTCTAATTAGGGGCACGGTTCCATTCGCCTGGATATTTATTCCAATGTAATTTGTTTCAATTTAGCCAGCACAGGAGTGATGAATTCCTTTCATTACATCCAAGTCCCTTTGATGGGCTCTGTCTGGCTAATTATTCACATGGAACACATTCCTAATGGCCTCAGAGTAGGCAGAATTTCCAGAAAATAAATAGTGGCTTTTGGAATACATGGACAAAAGTCAGTTTTCGAGGGGTTTCTTTTCATCTTCAGACATGAGGGAATGAAAAGGGAAGAACTTGGAACCTGTTTCTGCTCCTGCACTTGTGGGTTTGCTTAAATAATATCAAATATCAGGCTGCAAAGGGTTTCATCCCACAAAGGGACCCCCCCAGCCCCTTGCTGGGTGACAGGAAAACCATTCCTAAACTGCTTTGGCAGAACTGGCAGCTGTGGGAATTCATGTTTTCAATGATAAAGGAAACATTTTTGGTTTGGGAGCTGTCCAAGGGCAGTTTTTTGCAGCTTTCCAGGGATATTTTCCAACATATGTGACCTCCAGCATGCTCATGGATGTTTTCTGTGTCTATATATCAATATCTAGAAAATAGATGAGATATATATGCATTTATAAAAAGTAGGTTTGTAATGCACAGCTCACCGTTGCAGACCTTCGTGTTTTTAAGAGCATATTTTATGTTTATAACCAGTGTGGAAAGGGCAGCTAAAACCCACCCACCACCTCCCTGGGCCTGCCATGGATGGAATCACTTTTTGGGAAGAGTGGGGACTCCTTGCAGGTGACTTTTGGTACCATCAGGGGCTCGGAACAGATGGAATTGTCAAGGATAAGAAAACTGTGGAGCAGGTTTCCCAGAGAAGCTGTGGCTGCCTCTGGATCCTTGGAAGTGTCCAAGGCCAGGTTGGAGCAACCTGGGCTAGTGGGAGGTGTCCCTGCCCATGGGAACTGGATGATTTTAAATTCCCTTCCATCCCAAACCATTCCATGACTCTAAGTAATGAAAACCAAGCTTTTACTGAATCAGAGCCACGAGAGTCCCCAGGCTCCTGTTTCTGATTGTTTTCAGCCGCGTTTCCCTCAGTCGGAATTTTTGAGGGTTTTGTCGAGTTTTCTGTACAAAGCACCTAAAAATCCGAGACATTCAGGTGAAATTATAAATTTAAATGCTGTTTTTATCTCTGCCTGCTGTTGCAGATGCTGCTGACAGAGTACCTGGACATGAAGAACACCCGCACGGCCTCGGAGCCCTCGGCCCAGCTGAGCTACGCCAGCTCCGGCCGGGAATTCGCCGCCTTCTTCGCCAAGAAGAAACCCCAGAGACCTAAAAACCCCCTGTTCAAGTAAGCTGAGGATGCTAAAGCCCTGCCTAAGCTGCCTTTGGTCCCTCAAGTGCTGCACAAGGCTGGCTGCTAATCACAGTTTCACAGTGGGAGAGGTGTGGAAGTTCCGAGTTGGAGTTTTAATGCCCGGAGCTGAAGCCTGGCTAAGATCTGTCACGGATTCAGGGCTGGATTTGGAGAGTTTAGCTCTTCCCAAGGCTCATTTCGGGGCTGGAATCCCATTACAAAGCTGCTGCAAAGCCTGCAGTGATCCATTATGCCTCCCTTTGTCCAGGGGAAATTCAGGACCTGTTAAAGAGAGCGATAAAAGGGACCGGACAAAGGGAATTAAGATAACTGTGTAATTACTAGATAGGCTAAGCAGTTAATCCTGTCACTAACTCCTTTAATTCAAAGTTCAGGGTGGAAAGAATTAAGTGGTTGGGAGGAGAGTGTAAGAGAGAGGATGAGAGAGGCTGGGTGGCCAAGGGAAGCATCTGGGGGAGGGAATTTGGGCAGGAATAAGGAGTGAGGAGGAGGAGGAGTTGGTGAGCAGAGGAGATTTACACTTAGGTTCAGGGGAGCTGTGCTGAATTTTCACCTCTTCTACTGCCCACATGTGCTGGTCATTCTCTTTGGCCACGGGAGGATTTTGGGGAGCACCAAAAAGTGCTGGTTTTGCAGCAGGTGCCCTGAGGGGGTGTGTTCTCATGACACCTGAGGCCCCAGTCAGAAATCCAAGTCTTCTTCACCGATTTTGCCCCTCAAAGGATGAGTTCTCCTGTAACCTGTGATTAGAAGGATTCCAGAGGTGCCTCCTGCCCCTGTCAATCCCTGATTATTACCCCTCACCCTTTTGTTTTAACACTCTTTTTTTAACACTTTTAACTTATTTGTCTCTGCCTCTCAGGTTGGTCCTTGTGGACCATTAGAGCCATAAGATAAATGCTTAATAATGGATTGGTCCCTAATTCCATGAGAATTTTCATCTTATTAATTTTGATCTTGTTTAGGGCTGACTGAACGATTTAGGGCTGTTTCAGGTTGAGAATTCCACTTCAAATGTACCCTGACTTGCAGATCATAGAATCCCAGAATCTACCAGGTTGGAAAAGCCCTCTGAGATCATCCAGCCCAACCCTTGATCCAACCCCACTGTGGTTCCCAGCCCATGGCACTGATGCCACATCCAGTCTGTCCTTAAACACCTCCAGGGATGGAGAATCCCCCACTTCCCTGGGCAGCCCATTCCAATGGCTGAGCACTCTCCATGGAAAACATTCCTTCCTGATGTCCAACCTGCCCCTGCCCTGGCCCAGCTTGAGGCCGTGCCCTCTTGTCCTGGCTGGAGATCTTGAAAACTCTACAGAAGCTGGACCTGTCCAGCAACAAAATGAACAGTTTACGAGGCTTGCAGGAACATGATCTGCTGGAGACCATCAACCTGGAGGATAACCAGGTACCACACTTCATATCCACCTCAGCTTCTTCTAAGAATGCAGAATATATTTATTTTTTTTAATTAAATTCCTTTGAGAGACCAAAAACTCTCACAACACTGCAAGAAATTAATATTAGAATCATAGAAATCATAGAATCAGTCAGGTTGGAAAGGACCTCTGAGATCATCCAGCCCAACCCTTGATCCACGACCTCCACAGTTCCCAGCCCATGGCACTGAGTCTGTCCACATCCAGGATGAGCCCACTTCCCTGGGCAGCCCATTCCAATGGCTGAGCACCCTCTCTGCAAAGAAATTCTTTCTAATATCCAACCTGACCCTGCCCTAGCCCAGCTTGAGGCCGTGCCCTATTGTCCTACTGCTGGTTGCCTGGAGCAGAGCCCAACCCCCCCTGGCTCCCCCCTCCTGTCAGGGAGTTGCAGAGAGTGAGGACGTCTCCCCTGAGCCTCCTCCTCTCCAGGCTGAGCCCCCCCAGCTCCCTCAGCCTCTCCTCCCAGCACTTGGGCTCCAGTCCCTTCCCCAGCCTGGCTGCTCTTCTCTGCCCCTGCTCCAGCCCCTCCAGGGCCTTCCTGAGCTCAGGGCCCAGAGCTGGACCCAGGAAATGTTTAGTGGAGCAAAACCAGGGTGGCTCAGCCTCTCACCCCGAGTCTGTTCTGGGTTTACATTTATTTGAGGAATAAAACTCCCTGTTTCACTGAAGCAGGCTCAGGCTGTGCATTAGTTTCTCAGCAGGGAGGGAGGGTGGAGCTGTCTCAAGTGCAGGTGAATAACCTGTGGGAGCAGCACATCCCTCGCTGCTGGTCCTGTCACCGTCCCTGCAGTGACAGCAGAGCTTCCTGGGCTCTCTTTGGTTCCCTGTCAGCTGTCACCAGATCTGTGGAAATCTCCCTTGAAATGGAATTTCTCAGCCTGCTGAGATTGGTACACGTTTGATGGAGTGTTATCCTTGTCTCCTCTCCCATCTCCAGTGCTTTCCCTGCCAGCCTTCCAGGCTCTTTTCCTTGCCTTTCCATCAGCTCTGTCCAAATCAGAGCCTTCCACTTGTCATCAGGATATCTGCATTTAATTCCTGGCCTCAGGAGTATCTCAGGGCAGGGCTCCACCTCCACCTCCACCATATTTTACTCACAGGTGTTTGTGCCATGTCCTGTGACAGCTGGGAGCTGATTTAATCAATATTAATTAATATTTAGTTAATCTTAAAGAATCATACTATTTAACATATTATTTCTATAATAATATAATATAATATATGATATAATATAATATGTGTATTTTATATATATAATATGATAAAATATATACTATATTAATACTAGTTAATATTAAATAATATTTAATTAATATTAAACACTTCTGCCACTTGTGTCTTCTGTGGAAGAATGAGAACTCCTCAGTTGAATCCTGCTGTCTGGAAATCAGCAGCTGGTGTTTGGAAGAGACTTTTTTTTCCTTATCTTTAAAATGGGTGTAATAAAAAAAAAATAAATCAGGATTTGTTTAGTTGTAATGTTGGTTTGGGGGGAGAAAAAAAAAGCTTCAGATAAAGGGTGTTTTGGGAATTTGGATGTTTTGTGCCATCATAAATGTGGCTTTTTTTCTCTTCCCAAAGGTAGCTTGATTTGCAAGGTGTAAATTGGGGTTGGGGCAGGAAAGGAGGGAATTGTAGACTTGCAAAATTATGTGTAATTCTGTGTAAAACTAACATTTCTTTGACATCTTGTGGGAGGATCTGCAGGGGAAAGGAGGTACAAGAGTAGAGGATTTAAGTGGAAATAGGAATGTGGAGAAGTGCAGATCTAGGAGATGGCAGAGGAGGGGAAATAGGGGAGAGAAACTGGATGTCTGTGGGGAAAAAAAGGGGTGAGATGTGGTTTTGATGCCTTGAGAAGATCTCTGGGCTGTGGGGATAATGATACACTGAATATCTCACTGTGACCAAGAGGGAGAATGCTGTAAATACAGAGACAAGAATTTACTGCTCATTTAATTAAAGTCTGAAGAGTTTGTTGTATTTTGATAAATCATTATTGGTTCAGTTGCAGTAATCCTCACACAATCCAAATTAAAGCAGAAAAGCCTCATTAATAGTCATAACCCCAACGCTGAGGAAGCTGTGAAATGCTTTTTTCCCTTTTCTCTGGTGTGATGCTGCTGTTCCCAGTGTCCCTCTGGGCCCCACAGAGGCTGATTCAATATTCCTGAACAGCAGGATTGGGAAGGGGATTGGGAAGGGGATACAGCAGATCATCACCACTTTGAGGTGTTTTTGTGCAGGAAATTCCCCTCCACATCTGGTGTCCACCAGGGCTGTTTGAAGGTGCCTCATCCCTTGGGAGATGTTTTATCCCCACCATGTGCTCCCTTCTCCCTGTTTCCCAGTGCCCACCAGGGCTGGCATTCCCAGTGCCTGGAGCAGCAGCCTTTGGCCACATGGAATATTCCCAGCTCAGGCAGGTTGGGCACAAGGCCCTTGGCCATGGGACACTTGTGGTGTCCAGAACTGTCCTGGAGTCATTGAGGGGGTCAGATCAGTGCCCAGCCTGTACCCTTTCACCATGAGTGCCAAAAATCCTGTTCATGAGGCTCCAACAGTTGGGAAATATTTGTCTCTGCCCCTCAGGTTGGTCCTCGTGGACCGTTAGAGCCGTAAAATAAACGCTTAATAATTGATTGGTCTCTAATTCCGCGGGAATTTTCATCCTATTCATTTTACTCTTGTTTAGGGCTGACTGAGGGATGCTTTTAGGGCTGGCTGGATTGATTTCTTCCTGTTGAATTCCAGGTTTGAGTCCTCCTCCCACGCCATCAGCATGAGTGCCTACCTGCGGGAGCAGAGGAGGGAGCTGTACAGCAGGAGCGGGGAACTGCAAGGTATGGAAAGGGAAAATGTGTTAATTGGATAATTGTCCTTTGCAGGAGCTGGAATATCCCATCCATGCCGTGCCAGGTATTGATCCCCCTCTGCTTTGCCACTAGTTTGAAGCTCTGTTTATTATTAAGTTGGGAAGCAACAGGGTTTGTCTTTATTTCCTTTGTGTTTCCAGCTGGAGGTCAAGGTCTGGAAAAGATACTTGTAAGACAGTGGGTGAAGTGGAAACCTCACTCCCAGCACTGGGTTGGGATTTTTGGAGCTTCTTTGGATACTTATCTGCCATTTATCTGCTCACATCACATGCTGGGTGGGATACTCCCCCTGGATTGCTCTGGGAGCTGAGCTCAGCCAGCTCTTATTTGAAGTTGGATGGACTAAAGTGACCAATTCTTTGTCTTTTGTGCACTGGAAGAGTGTTTCCAAAAGGTGAATTTGAGGACTTGGGCTGCTCTTGCTGGTTTATATTCCCTGTGAGACATGCTTTATATCCACAGAGAAGTGTTCTCCAGGCATGGAGTTTTTCCTTCCACAAAAGGGTTGGGTTTGGCAGCAAAATCAAGGGGGATATCTTAAGGTTGCCATGATAACTTACAGCAGGACTGAATTCTGGGTCATCTATTCCAGTTTCTTACTGGGATAATCATAACAAGAAAATAATTTATACTCTTAAAATATGATGGCAAAGGGTTGAACTTCTCCTTGAGCTCTTGCCCATGATAATTTCCAGTTGGCTTTTAATTGAGAGTGTTTTATAATTTACAAGAGATTGTTTGGATGACTTTTTATTCCCTTCCTCCTTTTATAACTTATCCTGAGCGACAAGTTAAACCCACCAGGGTGTGCAAAAAAAAAAGCCTGGAGGGGACAGAGGGAGTGTTCTTGTGGCAGATTGTTTCACTTTGGTGATCTTGGTATCGATGATTGTGGGATTAACAATTCTGTGGTGAATATTCAGATGGTTCTGGGTGGGCTGTGAAGGAGGAACCTGAGGTGCAGATGTGCTGGAGTTGACAGATGCCTCACACCACGATGTGAAAACAGAGTGAAGTGGAGACACCTGCCATTTAAATTCTGATCTCACTTTTGGCACACACCTGGGAGGTGTTAAATGTGCAGCTCTTCGCCCCCTGAGGTTCAGGTTCTCACCTTCACACCTGTCACACGTGCCCGGGGTTAGCTGAGAGAAGTCCCCCAGCTCAGGGGGATGTTGTGAACTCTTGAGTTTTTTAGGAAGGTTTAAGTCATTCTCCACAGTTCTGAGCCCTCCAGAATTCCAGGACTTTTCAGGATGTGTCCTGTCGTGTTCCGTCGTTCCCGGTTGTCTCCACACCCCGTTGTCCCTGTTGCCTTTAAAGCAGAGCAGAGAACAGAACTGACTCACCCCATGGCTGTGTCCTCCTCCAGGATGAGGGTTTTTTGGGGGATTTTTGGGGTTGTTGCTGTCAGACTGAACTGAGGGTTTGTTCATAAGCAGCTCCTGTCCTGGGTTTGGAATTCCTTACTCACGACAGGACACAAACCCTGAAGCAACATTTGTGCTGAGCAGGAGCTTGGGAGCCTTTTCCAGAGGGGAGGATGCAGGAGGGCTGTGCAGGATTCACAGGATTCCAGTGTCTGGGAAGAACAAAACCTGTGGACAAAGGAAGTAAAGGACAAAACCCAGGAATTGGTGTGGATGGAGCCCGGATTCTGTTACCCTTTCTGGCTGAGTTGGAAGAGCTTGGACGTGATGCAACAGGGGACAAAGAGTCAATGGAGGGAGTCAACAGGGACAATAGATGAGATGACTTTGCTGAGGGTCTTTGCAGTTTAAACCATCAAGAAAAGTTTCCCTTTGAACTTTATGTTAAAAATGTAGTAACCTCTCTTTTCTATTATAAGCTGCTGTTCCCTTTTAGGGAGCTCATTAATCTTCCTGAATCCCAGACCACAGCAAGATCTACATTTGGATTTTTTTTTTTTTTATTATTTTACCTTTTTTTTTTTTTTTATCCCTTTTAAAGAGAACTACAATTTAATTGTTCAATCAGGTTGGTGGAAAGCAGGCACGTGACACTCTGCCTTCTGTGAACGCTGCACAGTTTCTGTTCCCAACAGCCTTATCCACGGGGATGATTCTTCAGTGGCAGCAGGGGGAGGGTGACTTTGTTAGGGAATCTTTTTTTTTTTCCCTGAAAAAAAAGACCTTCAAAGAAACATATGCATGAAAAGAAAGGAGTTTATAAAAAGTTTGGCTCACGTTAACTTTTTTTGAAAGGAGCATTTAATTTAAATAGCCCTTAAAATGTGTGAAGATCAGAGGGAAGCTTTGTCATTAACCTCTTTGATTTGGGCTGAAATAGTGCAGTGCACGAGGCTCACATTATCCCTCAGCAGGGGAA